CCAAGAGGCAGGAGTGAAAGTACAGCACAGAGAAGTTGGAAGGTGGTTTGGGAGTGTGGTGGGGAGGAGTGATAGGTGTAGTTTTGAAAATGCTTTTCTTACAAAGGAAACTCTAAATGGTGCTCTCTTAAATTCTTTTCAGAAAAAGTGTTCAATAGTAGATGCATGAGAGATGCTTAACTGCTCTTGTGTGTAAACTGTGCTAAGTGAAGGGTAATGCTTTTAATAAGTCTCACATGACTAGCTCTCTGAAGGAGTTCAGAAAGGGCTATGGAACATTTCAACTGAAACTCACTTCTAGCTTGAGTTTGTCCTTGGCTGGTAGTGACTTGAGCATGAAATAACTATACTGAGGCTTTTTGATGTCCATGTTTAAAGATGTCTTGCTCACATGGGTGAGCATGTCCTTCAACAGTGTTGGCAGCCTGGTGGGTAGGAAGAATGGAATAGGCACAGACTGCTGTTTTGTCCTAGCAGATGGTCTTTCCGAGCTCAGATTTGGGGGAAAAATTGTGGGCAGCAGTGTGTGGAAATGTGTACTGCTGTTGGTTGGGCCCACTGTATTCTGTTGATAAACGGAAGATGTTATATCCAATTGATGCACCTTCATGAGGACTAAAATGCTTAAGCTCCACACAAATGATACAGTTTTAACTGCATCTATTTTATTTTTTGTTCCTTGTACTGTTGTCTTCAGCTAAGTAAAATGACCTTCACCAACCTCTCTACCAGAATTTAAGACACAATGGGCATTATTCAATACTTTTCAATTCCAACATTTCTCCAGCAAAAGGGCATAGTATAATTAGGGGTGGGTGAGAGGGGTACCCACTCCAGGCACCAAATTAGGAGGGGTGCCAGATTTCCCCCTATTCCACAGAGTCTGCATGCTGGCAGCATTGTCATGCTGGGAACTCTGAAGCAGCTCCCAGCTGCTGTTGATTTAAGAACAGTAGTCAGGTTGGGGAGGGGACATATGGTGGCAACAGCTTAGCCAGGACTGTTTAGAAGTTCACATCTGGGTAAGGCTGCTGTTTTCTTGTCTGGCTCCCGGACCCGTGCCTCCCCCAGTCCAGCTCTTGGAACCTGTGTCTTGCAGCATCCCTTCCCCGCAACCTCTGCTCTCCCTTCGGTATTATGCCAGGCACCAGATCATCTTCCTATGCCATTGCAAAAGGACTTTGTTCTCGTAGAATGCAGCATGCATTTAGATCTTTAGTAAGTTCTGTTGAATCAGTAAGGCACTGAAAAAGGGAGTGACCAGACTGTAATCTAACAGTACTTTTCCTGAGTACTCCTTCAGAGCAGGCTTTTCAAGAGCATTATGTTTCACTTTTGCCAACAAGAGCATTGACTGTTAATATAAAAGTTTAATTTGCCTGAAATGTGTGATTTTAATATGGTGTGCACATTGTTGTTTATTAAACTATGGACTTTATCCTGTATCCACTGAAATTGAGAGAGTTTTGCCATTAACTTCAGTTTTTTTACCTTGTATGAGGATTTGGTAGAGTACGATCCCCTCAAGAAGTGCTTTGCAGAGGGGAGGACAAAATCTTTCCCAAGCCTCTTGATGGTCTGGGTGACCAGGAAAGATGTGGTTCTCTTTACAGAGAGCTCAGGGGAGGCCTCTGCTTAATGTTCAGTCATTGTCAAACAAGCAAAGAAACAGCTGAAGTGTATAAAAATGGGGTAGAAAGCGATAATTAAATTATAATGATGCCATATAAATGAATGATATACTCTTACCTGGAATAATGGGTTCAGCCCCATTTCAGAAGAAGTAAGAAAGAAGACCTTCAAAGATGGGGTGAGACAATATTGGAGTCAAGCTTCTATATAGAAAAGCTTCCATATGGAGAATAGTCTCCTGATGGAGGACATCAGGACTCTTCAAATTAGATAAGAGGTGAATATGAAGGACAAGATGGAGATATATATAGTAACAAAATAGGGAAAGCAAGAAGGAAGGTCAGGTGCTCTTGTTTAATTTTTCTCATAATCTAGAAGAGAAAAGAAGATTCAATGAAACAGAAGGGTAAAAAACCATTAAAATTAAATGGTTTTTATATAGGAATAATTTACCTATTGATATCATGACCACAACATAATGAAACACAGTAATTGGCATACCAGATCAGATTCATGGTTCAATGCCTGTGCTGGCTAGCAGGAAGATGTAAGCAGCATCATACTACGTATAATAACCTGTTCCACATATTAGTTCTCTTCTTAATCCCCAGCAGTCAGGAACTGAAGCATGAAATTTAATGTTTTTTCCTCCAAATTTAATCTTGCTTTAACTACAGTAAGTCAGAATATTTTTATGATCCATGGACAGGTCTGTTCACCTCACCCCAAGGAAGCCAGGGACAAGCCCCTTTGTTTCCAGGAAAATGAATTTTCTAATGTATTAATCCACCGCAAACTCTAATAACATTCTGCAAAAATGAATATTGCTAGCAAATAAATAAGAAGTTCCTCCTTCACACTTTGCTCAGGTTTCCATCTGCAAGTGTTAAAGAATTCCACACCTATTTGAACTTATTTCCCAATTTTAGGACTTTGAGATTAAATGACAGTAAATTATAAGATTTCTTGTTTGCTAAATTGATGTGACTATGATTATATCTAGAGACATTTGTGTGATGTATTAAGAGGACTGAATCCCTGCATCCCCCCTTCTCAGTAAAGGTTTACAGTGTTATTTGATGAAAAGGTTGACAAATATGGTCAGAAAGGAGATGTCCCTGTGTTATCCTGTTAGTCAACAAGTAAAACACCAACCTGAAGCCTTCATCAAGATTTGACCTCCTAAGACCAGGCTAGCCTTTCTGAGAAGCTTGTCTTGCTTGTGACTCAGAGTTCCTTCCCTTGGCCTAACTTACGCTAACTGAACCTAACTTAACAATGCCTACAGCCTACTAAAAACACCACGCTATAAATCAAAAGATTCATACTTCGCCTAAAGGTCTACAAGTCCCTCTCCCTTTCAGTAGAACACTTTTTTAAGGCATGGGGTTTTTTAACCCTAAGATCTCCTGTGGTCAACCCCTATGCCCTGCAAGGAGCAGTGTGGGAAGTGCCTGCATGTGTGGTGTGTGGCACCACATACCACATGTCCATACTCATGTGGATTTGGCCTCCCAGTCTTTTCAGTTTCCCTTTATATGAGAGTTTTTCCATGATTGTCTAGGCCAAGCATCTAGGGTTCCAAAACAGCTTAAACTTTTCTATGGGTAATGACACACTGGCACCAGTACTACATAGAAATAAAGGAAAAGAAAATCTTCAGGCTTCCAGGCATAAGCAAGCCATTATCTGAGGAGGTAATAGGAAGAAATTTCTTATCATTGGGTTTCTTATACCATCTTTTGAAGTGTGTGGTCCTGGTGCCTGGAAGAGAGAATGACAGGACTAGCTTAAATGTAGTCCACATTGATCCAGTAACCATTCTTATAGAAACAGATTGAAAAACATCAAGAAATTTAATCCTATCCTAGAAAAGAGTACAAATTAACCCATCAGTATTATTCTGCTTCTTACAGAAATACTTCTTCAATAGAAACTGGATTAAACCTGCAGTTGCTCTGTGTAAGGAATTCCATTCAAGGAAACAGTGCAAAGTAACTGGGAGTACAGCATGCAGAAGGGCAGCAGGAACACATTTATTCCACGCCACGTACAGCTCCAGGCACTTTGTTCCTGAGTAAATAATTATAACCAAATTCATAGCTATTGCAGAAGCCTAATGCAAACCAGGCACAGAATTTGGGGCAGCTGTCCTAAGCTGAGAACACAAGAAGGATTTGCTACATTTCTTATATACAACTCTGTCAGGAAAGCATCCATATTAATGTGAGCTCTTAGGCATATATTTTAGTTCAACTGGGCATATATTTTAGTTCAACTGGGCATAAGCACTTTCTGAAAGTTAAGCACATGCTCAGTGCTGTCTTGAGTAGAGCTAGATTCACACACAGAAACACATGCTTATGTGCTGTCTACCCAGGGCCTACATTTTCTAATAAACCTGTTTCATAGCCAGATCATAAGCATCAACTGGGACTTTTTTCAGTGTGTGAGGCAATGGAAAATGTAAACAGAGACTATGAAGCTAGGCCATTTATTCACAGTGAAGCTTTAGTTAGAAAACCCAAAAGCCAACTTCAATTAGGGTTTGATTTATTTTTTTTCAGTAAGAATATGTTTGCAGTAGATTACTTTCCTACAAATGCTCACTGTCGCCAAGGAAGAACTGTGTCTGCATGCTGTTATCAGTGACCTGTCTATCTTAACCAGATCTTGTCTATTATTTATTTTGTCAGGTTTCTCTGGCAATTGTGTTGGCTGTGGCAAGAAGGGCTTCTGCTACTTTACGGAATTTTCCAATCACATCAATCTTAAACTGACCACTCAACCCAAGAAACAGAAACACTTAAAGTATTATCTGGTTAGAAATGCACAGGGAGTGCTTACCAAAGGGTCTGTAATCTGCTGGAAAGGGGCAGGTAAGATCATGAGGCTGTCTAGTTGGAGCTCTGGTTTTCATCTGCCCAGCTTAGATACCAGTGAGGTCGACATCTGAGACAAACCTCAGATAATCAGATAGACAGAGGAGGGACTCTTTAAAGTGAGGCAATTGCTAAAGAGTGGCGTAGAAGCCAGTTGATTGAAGTAATAGAAAGAGAGCATGTTGGACAATCTAGCAGTGCCTCTTTTCTAAATATTGTGATATCTGGATCAAAATTGTTCGTATTTCAGATTGCTTACACAAAGGTACAAAGACAAAGCATTAATGCAACCATTCTCAATGGGTAAGAAGAGCCTTTTTTTCCCTTAGAATTTAGAGGCCGACAGTCTTCATCCAGTACCTGTTCAAGTGCATTGTTCCAACCTCCAGAAAGTTCAGGCCCATCTGTAACCATCACAAGTGACCCGGTTCCAGCCACAAACCCAAATACTCCATCTGGGACTCAGCAAACAGGTAACACTTAGAAAGGAAACCTTTGGCTAAGTACAGACAATCAAAAAGCTTGAGGCTGAAACGATTCAATCTTTGTAGGTTAGTCTAAGGTGTGTAGATTAAACCAATTAGGAAATGAGCAGGCATTCACTTTTGATTCTGGAAATGCAGCCACATGCCTGCAGGGGCTCAGGCTGGAAGCTGGGGGGCACTAGAGCATGTCTCCTTGCTCAGCTGGAGCAGCCAGCTTGAGCCAAGGCTAACCCGCTTACGCTGCAAGGTGGGTTTTGCAGGGGAGGTACAAAGAATCCTGAGATACTGGGGGACTATGAGTTAACTTGAATCTGGAGGGGATTTAGGACAGAAGTTGAATAAATTGATTGAACCTAAATCAGTGGGGTCTGATAATACATCCAACTGGGTTTCTCTTTAATAGGTTTCAGCCATCTTAAAATCGGTTTATATTAGGGCTGTACGAAATGGGCCCTATTTGATTTGGATTCAGAGTCGATCTGAATCAGGGACAGTGATTCAATCTGTTGATTCGGATCGCTATCCCTGATTCAAATTGGCCGAATCCGAATCTGGCAATTTGATGCTGATTCAGCGATTCAGCAATTCAGACAAAGGCACAGCTTTAAAAGTTTTTTCTACATACCTTGAAGTAGCAGCATGGCTTATGATCGCTGCGGTGCTGGGGCGCATGTAGCATCCCTCGTGCTCGGCACATGTAGCTTCCCAGCATGCTCGGCAGCGAACCCAGAAGTGGATTGGAAATGCTTTTTGTCCACTTTTGGGTCTGCCAGGGAGTGTGCTGGGGGGGACCTAAGAGCCTCCCTGGCTCAGTGATTGCTGGCAGGGGGACCTGAGGTGTCCCCCCCAGACCCAGGATGCATCAGTCACCGAGCTGAGAGGGTGCGGGGGGCCCCCCGTGCACTCCCCAGTGGACCAGGAAGTGGACTGGAAGTGCTTCTGGTCTACTTCCAGGTCTGCCGCTGAGCGTGCTGGGGAGCCCCCCATGCTTCTGTGAGATGCTGCGTCTGCCCCAACACCGCAGCGTTCAGAGCCCTGCTACTTAGAGGTGTATAGAAAAAACATTTAAAGCTGTATGTATGTCTGAATCACTGAATCTGTCTGAATCTCTCTGAATCAATTTGGAGGGTTTTAAATCAATTCAGAGAGATTAAAAGGTTCTCTGATTTGATTTGGAGATTCAGCCACTGAATCGGGCTGAATCTTCACCAAATCGAATCAGGGATTGAAGCTTTGCACAGCCCTAGTTTATATGCACTGAACTTCTGTTGTGTTACAGATTTGAACCAGTTTCTGATCTCTTATACCAGTTTATGTGTAATTTCTGTCCCTAGCCTTTGAGTTCCCAAATAGTCTCATTTACTATCTTGAGTGCATGTATGTGTATATTGGTGGAAGTGGAAAGAATCTGTAAAAAATATTGTAAAGTACCGAATAAAACAGAATGAGCAAACATGAGTTGATTTAGAGAGGCTGCATAAATCAAGAAACTAGTATAATGTAATAGCTATAGAGAAAATGAATGACGCCTTGAAAACTTTTTCAATACTAGCTCTTTTTTTCAGATAAATTGATGAAGAGTTTATAGATAGTTAAATAGTACTAAATATTTCTTTTCTGGAATTAGGTATCAACAAGCTCACTAAGGCTACTCAAATCTTAGCAGTCCATTTATTTAAAAGTGATGAAAATCGGCTTTACCATTTTGCAGCTGCTTCTTATCTACTCACAGATGACAACTGCTTTAGAAATCAGCATGATTTCAGTTTGTTCCTCTGTTCCAGTCAATTTTATGATAAGACCAGAATCCTTTTCACTTAGATAATGTATAAATTGGCTTAAAAGCTCTGTTTTTCTTTTGCTAACAGAGAGATTGGTTTATTTTCTTTTTAATTCATACAAATTAAAGTCATCTCAGAGTTTATGTATTATTTACAAGACAAAAATATTTTAAGTGTTAAAGGGATGGACTTTTGTGGGTGATATCTTTTATTGGACCCACTATATAGTTGAAAGGGATACAGATAGGCTTTCAGATACTAATACTAAATATTTTTCCTCATGTCTTCATAGAATCATAGAAATTAAGGGCTGGAAGGGACCTCGAATGATCACTGAGTCCAACTCCCTTGCTCTGGGCACGAATATTTCTGAGATCAAATGATCCCAGCAAGGTGTCTGTCCAGTCTCCTCTTGACAACTTCCAGGGTTGGGGACTGCACCACCTCCTTGGGATGTCTATTCCAGATTCTGGTCACCCTTACTGTAAAGCAGTTCTTCCTTACATCCAACCTGAAACCTCCCTCTAACAGTTATGGCCATTGCTCCTTGTCATAGGCGACGTGTGCCTCCTGAGGCTGGGGGTCATGGTGACTGCCTGCAAGCGGTGACTCAGGCATCGGCAGCGAGGGTGGGCAAAGCGGGGGCAGTCCGCAGGTAGCCGTGGCAGTGTTGGAGGTGTGGGGGGCTCCCCCGTAGCTGATTGCTGACCAGGGGGAAGCTGGATGCCAAGCCTGGAAGTGTCGGTGGCTTGCCTGGCAGTGCCTGCGGCACTTCTTGTCGGGGGGCACCAGCGCTCAGCCTGCCCCCCCTGCCCACTGCCTAAGCCAGGAGTGCTCGCTGTCAGGGAGGAACCAGCGCTTTCAGGGGGTGCATGTCACCTATGCTCCTTGCCCTCCCCTGGGGCACCCTAGTGAACAATTTTTCTCCCAACTCCTGATATTCATACTTATAGATGGTCACCAAGTCCCCACTCAGTCTTCTCTTCCCCAGGCTGAACAGTCCCAGATCCCTTAATCTTTCCTCATAAGGTTTGTCCTCCAGGCCCTTAATCATTTTTGTACCCTTCTCTGGACCTTTTCAAGCTTCACCATGTCTTTTTTGAAGCGTGGTGCCCAGAATTGGACACAGTACTCCAGCTGATGTCTCACCAGTACTGAGTAGAGAGGAAGTATCACTTCCTTAGCCCTGCTCACAACACATCAGTTAATGCATCCCAGTATGCTACTAGTTCTGTTGACTACAGTGTTGCACTGGTGGTTCATGTTCATCCTGTGATCAACCATAACCCTGAGGTCCCTTTCAGCCATTGTGCTGGCCAGGACATCTCCTCCTAACCTATATTCATGTCACTGGTTACTTCTCCCTAGATGAAGCACTCTGCATTTATCCTTATTGAACTGCATCTGGTTCTACTCTGCCCACCTTTCCAGCTTGTCTTCTAACTCATTGATAAAGATGTTGAACAAGATGGGGCAAAAACCAAACCCTGCAAGAAACCACTGCCCACCTCCTGCCAAGATGATTCAATAA